GTTAGTGCGGACCGCACAAAATAGTGTGTGGTCGCACTAGGGCTCTGAACTTGACAAAACTGCTCTCTGAACTTGGGTAATGCGGACCGCAAAAAATGGACGGAGGCCGCGATGGCTTCTAGTGCGGTCCGCATGAAATGGAGCGCGGACTGCATTGGCTTCAATCTCCGAAAATAGCAACTCTATGATTCTTGGTTGTGCGGACCGCACTAAATCGAGTGCGGCCACAGTAACTTCAGTGCGGACCGCATTAAATCCCATGCGGTCGCATTGCCTGATTTTCCTGAGTTGCATACTCTCTGAACCTCACTTGTGCGGACCGCACAGAATGGTGTGCGGCCGCACTGGCCTTGTTTTTCCTGAGCTTTGTCTTGCCTTGATACTTGTGCAAGTTTCACTCCTTTTGAGCTGATCTTTGATATTTTGTCACCTTGTTGATCAAACCTGCAATCAAGCATAACTTCTGAGTCTTTTGGGACTATTTTGTACAAATTTCTAATCAAAACATAAGCAAGAAGGAGTACATAATGTATCAAAATCACTAGTTATCAACTCCCCCAAACTTAAGCTTTTGCTTGTCCTCAAGCAAACAAAATAAAACCCACCCGTTAAGGGAAAATCCAAGAAAAATCAGTTGCTCTAAAGTAACCTCATCTAGCTTCAATTGAGATTAACAATTGCCCTCAATACACATGAATCATTAACAACATTTACTCTTTTAAAACACCATGGATCAAGTGTGACACAGGAGCATCAAGAGTTGACTCAACACATCAAAGGACTCTTTCTATTACTTTAGTCATTGTGGAACTCAAATTCACACATCCTCAGCTCTCCCTAAGAAAACCTCACCTTTAGAATAGTGGAACTCATAACGAGATTAATGGAAATTCGCTCATCCCTCTCAAAGAAAAGTCACAAGTCCGGCACTAAGTACCATATGCTTGCCCCTTATGTAAGTCACCACTAGTGTAAGCTTCATTCAACTAGAGATAATATAGGGCTTTTGTGGAGACATAGTGAAGGCTTTTGGTTCTGGGTAGGCAATGTTTGGTCTAAGTAGGTTCCATCTTCCCTTAAGCACTTCTTTTGTTCCATTTTGGCACAGATTCACTTGACTCTTTGAGTCTTTTCACTTCTTTCAAGGGGTAAGAGAGACACAGTGTCACTCTTTTTTATACATTTCAAATCTTTTTTTTTCTCAATTTTCCACACCTTTCATTCTTTGCTTTTCTTGAATCCCTTTTTTATTCTTTTCCACTTTGAGTATTCTTTTTTTTTTTTGTCTTTTTGCTTTTCTTTCTTTTTCATTGCCTTTCCTTCTTCATTTTGTACCTTTTTACCACTTTGTTGCAATCCTTGTCTCTCCCCCCAAACATATACTTTTTCCATGTGCTAAGGAAAGATCGGGTGCCAAGAGAGGGTATCATTTAGAACGGGTAAAGCCTTGTATCATGGTTCTTGAAGGAAAAAGGTTTAAGGCTCAAAAGGGTTGACTAGGGATTTTATCTTTGGTAGGCTATGAAAGTGTTTAAGCTATCATATGGATCAAGGAGAGCCTATAATCATGTCTCAAAGTCAAAATTCACATAGGATTTCTCCTCAACAAACATTCTGGGCAAGTTCTAGACCACTGACTCGGAACTTGGACTTGCAATGCAATTTCTCACCACACACGCTATGAGATTGCTAAAGACACAGAGTCGGGGGCCCACAACAACCTTAGATAAGATTTGAGCACACAATGGTCCCGAAAAACCACTAGATGATTATCGGTCAACACAAGAGTCTCAGGGTCACGAATTTCACCATCCTAAACACAACAATTTGTTTTTGACCATGAGATCAAAGGCAAATGTGCTAGGCTCAAGTGAAGCTTTGCTTGAGGCACCCTTAACCACTAACTACTAAAAAGCCAAAAAGAAAAGAAAAACAGACTCAAACCCTTAAGAAGGTTGTCACTCCATCTATCATTGGGAAGAGCTACCCGGTTCACACAAACTCCACCTTTGGAAAGAACCGTGGCATTAAGAAAAACCAAAGGCTTATTGCAAACGTTCAAAACAAGAAGCTACGAACATAAACACGAAGCTAAGAACGAAAAATTGCGGAAAGTAAAATGAATATATACTAGAGGGGATTTGATCGAATATACAATAGATGGGATGAATATATACAATGTAACATAACTTTATATACAGACCCAAAGTAAAATAAAAGTGCGAGAAATGTAACGAAATGTTAAAATTATATACAAACCGAAGATGAAAACTATAGAAAGCATAAAAATTGTCAAATATATACAATCATCCAATGAATCCATAAAGGTAGGGCCTACCCCCTCAAATGGAAGTTGGCATTGTCCCCAATGACAACTAAACTAAGTAAGCACCAAAAAGAGAATGAAAAAGGATATAGAGACTCCCTATGGCATGTCTGTCTGCAGGGGCTCCTGAGTGGTCCCCGGGTCCTCACTGTGCTCGGGAACCTCAGACTGGTTCCCTGTGGCCTGCTGCTCTGGTGCTGGGACCTGGGCCTGGACCTGGACAGGCTCCTGAGGTGCATCCTATGGTTGATTGGAGGAGGCCTCCGGTGGGTCTGCCAACTGGATGACTGCATTGTCCGCTCGGGGAATCATCCTCCTCCTCTTGGGAGGCCTCTGAGACTGCTCTGGCTGGGGATGAGCTGCTGGTGCAGGGTCCTGAAGTAGTAAATCCGAAGGCAGCTGGTCTGCCTTCAACCTGTCAACATCAATCCTCAGCTCCTTCACGGACTCGTTGGAGGCCCGTGTGTTTCTCAACTTCTTGTGCTCCTTAGCAAGCTCCTTGAGAGCCTTGCTATGTGAATCAACAGTAGTACTGAGCACCTTCTGGTTTTTGAGGATTTTCTTTGGTTGACTAGAATCTCTTTGAGAGCATCCTCTATGGACTGTGGGACCTGCGGAGGTGGAGGAGCCGACTGAGCCTCTACTGCGGTAGTGAGGATAGACAACTTGGATGACGCTGTCTGCATCCAGTTGTTGATACTGAGAAGAGCTTGGCTCAGTCGGTGGGCAGTGACTGGGTAAGCTCGAGAAGAGGTAATCTCCGGATCTGCTGAGGTTGATGGGCCAGGAGGGATGTCTGTGGAAGTGGAGGCAGGCTGAGTAGGAGCCACTACGACAACTGGCTCTTCAGACTGGCCAGTTGAAGCCGTAGTTGTTCCATTAAAGTTCTTGCTCTTTGGGTTGTCATCCCCATGCATGTTGTACCAAGAGAATGGGGCCTTCGCTTTGACCGTTATGTCAAACGGCCTCTTGTCAACTTTTAGGTCCCCGAAGTACATAGTCAGAAAGCTGGGGAAAGGGTAGTTTCTGTCATGCTCACTTCCCACAATTGTGATTATCCTAGACATTACATTTCCCACATTGATCGGGTACCCCGCCATGATCAAAGCCACCAACATTGCCCGGTGAAGAGGGAGGGACTTTTCATGAGTAGTCGGGTCCAGTCTGCTGCAACAAAAGTTTCCCACCCCTTTGCCTCGAAGTTCAAACTACGTCTCAGAATCTTGACGCCCGCATTCAACCAATCGGGGGTGGTACCTGGGATTGCCAGATATTGCGACAACCAGGGACGGACCTCCTCGCCCAATTCCATCTTTGCCATATAAAGTGTCTCATCCTCCTCATCAAAGCCTAGATAATCATTTATTGTCTTCCCGTCAAACAACACTTTCAGGTTTCGTACCTTGGTCACCTTGGTGCCCTTTTTTATGTGCACAACGTTGGTGTAGAATTCCTTGACCAAGTGCTTATTGGCATCTACACACTCACTCAAAAAGTACTCCCAGCCAATTCTCTCCCTAAAATGCCTCCTCACATTGGGGTTGTGAGGTAGCAAGTCTCTATCCACAAAACTCCTTTCCGGGATCAACTTCCTCACCGGCCACCATTCCCGGAATTTATGATACGCTACCTCACTCACGAACCGGTCTTGCCACGCCTCTGGTTTCCTAGTTCTATCAACCCCGCCAACCTGAGGTTTACCCCCTTCTCCTACATCTCCTTCTCCTCCTACTACCTCAGTGTCTCCTATTGTACCCTCTCCAGATAATGAAGCTGTGGGAGAGGTGGAGTATTCCCCACTACCTTCAGCTGAGCCATCAGACGACCCAGAAGAAACATTCACTGACGCTTGGGCAGTGGGGGATGCTGGAGGTGTGTATCTTAGCCTTAACCTCTCTGGCTAGTCGTTGATGTACTCTGGCACGGAGTCTGAAGAAATCTCCCGGGAGGGATCATACTCACTCCCCGAGGATTGGGAAGCAGCTCTATCAACGGCTTTTATCAACTTTCTTGTCTGCTTAATATTTTGCCGGGCTTGAGAAGTCAGTCGTATCGTTTTCTATTTTTCTCCCCAGGAGGATTCTCCTCTGCCTGGTTGTTTAGAGCTTTTACCTTGTTGTTTCACCATTGTCAGCAAACACAATCCAATAACACTACAATAAAAAAGGCTTTTAGTGGCAATTAAAATGCTTTATAGCGGCAATAAAAATGGCCGCCAAAACATTTACCGGCAATTAGTTATTAGCCGTTATAGCCGGCGTCGGCAAAGCGTTTAGCGGCCATTTTATCTGAATGCTGGTAAAGGCACCTGTTATGGCCGGTAAAAGTCATGTTATTTTAGCGGCAAATATTAATGACAATTATAATGGACACTAAAACTCACCAAGAATTCCAGAGGCCTTACCTTTTGCAGCTTTTATTATTGCCGCTAAAAGTCAATTTAATAACTAGTAAAAAGAACCTCTTTTGGCAACAAATATAATGGCCACTACAGTTATCCTTGAATTCACCTTTATTCCTTTATTTAATAGCTTTTATTACTGCCGGTAAAAGTTCATATAATTGCTATAACAATGACCTTTAACAAATTTTCTTATTGCCGCTAACTATTAAGATAGAATTTTCCCATTTAATTATTGCATGGTATGCTTATTTACCTTAAAATGATACTCTCTTCAAAAAGCTTAATGCACGTAATTAATCCATACAACAAAATTATTAATCCATAAATTATGTCAACAGCATAACAAAAACACTAACCTATTTGAATCTAGTAACTAGTGTCATTTAGCATCTAATAAACTATTTATCAAGTAGCTATATACAATAAGAAACATAAGAAAGATTCTCCAACTCTTGATCATAATGAAATCTGCCATGAGCGAAGATTTTAAACTATCATAATATATGACCTGAAATGAAGAAATAAAATAAATGTAAATAAACAACCGCATATGAAGTTCATCAAAAGTGAAACCATCTACGTGACATTTACACCCTCATACTATGATATTAAGGAATTCCTACTACAAAATCCCGTTAAAACAAGTGAACAAGAAGTTTCTCAAAAGATAGATTTGTGCTTGAAGATCTCAAAGCAGCATAGACTCATAATCAACTTTACAAATGCATTCAAATGAATATCCGCCTAACAAACTTACATAAGCGTGTTCTAAAAGGTCTCAATGGTTTTCATTAATATTGCAGATTTCTCGAGTCTATCTGTACTTAACAATAGCAATCCAACAAGGAGATAGCACAAACATGTGGAGTACTTGCTGTTTTCGCCTATAAGAACAGAATGGACATCTTCACGTATCTTTTAGAAAAAGAAAGAAGCTAGAGAAATGTGCAAAACCCAGAGATCCGACAAGGATGCAAAGGTAATATTTTTACTTCATTTTCAAGATTCTACTCCTCTGCTTACTATTAAACGTGCACACGAAGATAGATACCAAAGCTTGTGTCACACCAATACTTACAGATAAAATGCTAATATACATAATCTCTCCTTACTCTACTGTNTGACCTACCTCTATATCTACTCTTAAGTAAACCTTCAAATTTTCCTCTCAATATCAAGTTCACAGGACCTGCAAAAAAATTAGGTGGTCCTTACTTGATTAAGATTTAAGGTTATACAAAAGATGCTAGAAAACATTTCTAATAAAGGAACTAAAATAAATATTATTGATGGTAATTTTTTGGTGGTGAAGGTGCTGGAGGACTATCTAGTATTTAGAGTTTATATGCGTGAGAGAAGCCTCAATATCTTCTCGTTAAGATGAATCTACATACTTAAGGTTTTATCACTATCTTTGGAACCAGGGCTGCCTATCTTGTAATATGCCATTTCGAAAGTCCCTAATGCATCTAACTAGTTGGTAACCAAAAGAAAAATATTTGGGAGTTCAAGTATTGTCCAAATTAAAATAGGAAATCTTCCTATAGAGACTAGCTAAAGAAAAATGAATAGTGGTGAAGATTGAAAGTCATGACCAAGATATTATATCACATATCCAAGGAGAATAGTAATGGTTCAACCAAATAACTAGTCTAGCAAGCAAAAAGATAGAACAACTTGTAATCTTTAAAACTAGCTAATGAGATATAAAGACCACTAGCGGCACATTGAGTTTTACCTTTTCTAAATATAAGGTAGCAATTACTAGCAACAAAGAACCTATTTCACATAGTTCATATTATTTGCTTCATATGGTTCTCAACAATTTCAAGAACAAAAAGTAGCAATATATACATTCAAATATGAAAAAAGGAATTGTTACTTTGAAATGGCATTTGTGGTGCTTGCATTGTTTGTTTTGCTAATCGACTTCTCCTCTCGTATGTTGCTTGAGCTCTCTTATTCTCAAGATTCTGTGGTTATCACAAACAAGGGAGAAATCACCATCAAAAGTCAGATATACTAACAGAAAATTGAGACTTCAATTATAATTGCAGACTACAAGTATGGAAACTCATCTTACAAAAAATTCCAGAAACAGGAGCCGTAGCTCATCGTTAGATAAATAAGGTTAAGCAGAAAGAAAAGGAACTCCAAGTGCTGCTTGTAGCAGAAAATTACATTTTCATATTGATAAAAAATACATGAAAATAAAGTTAAGAACACTATTTAACAAGAAATAGCTAACAATTGCTATATGTTGCTTCATTGATTCAAAATGTGAAGTAATACCACCACTAACTAGAGAAAATGATTGTAGGGTAGATCAATAACAAGATACAAGAAACTTACCTTGATACATCATAATGGTTCCATCCAACCTCTGATGAAAGCTTGCTCAAAGCATTATGTATGTCCTGCCTCGAGCCTCAATACCCTAGATGAGAGGAGGGTAGTAACTTCAGTATAAAAAGAAACAATAATACTATGCGTAAACTAATACTTGAGTGCATCAGGAATGACCATCCTCTTCATCTTGTCATATGGGGATGGAATACCCTCATAAATAAATTATGAGTGTTGCGCAACAACTTACTTGAGCATATTTTGCTAATGACCATCCTCTTCATCTTGTCATATGGGGATGGAATACCCTCATAAATAAATTATGAGTGTTGCGCAACAACTTACTTGAGCATATTTTGCTATGTGTAGACTAATATTTATACTACTAGGCTTAGTTACTAGACATCTAGAAAATCAACTGAAGAGTATGTATTAAGATTCAAGTTCAAGTTAAAATAAAAAAGCTAAATGATTTAAGAAGTAGAGAAAGAAGCAGACAAATGAAGAGATAAAATTACTCTATAGAGACAAACCAATAGTTGTGAGTTGTGTTATACTCCATCCTTTTTTCTTCAATCTCTGTGTGGTTAAATGTGATAATGTTCTAAGCAACTATATTTGTGATATTTTTCTTCCTATTTCCTCCATCTATTATGTTACATCAGTATCACTGCTTCACATATACCTATCAAACTTTTACTAAAGGGAGAGGTCCACTGTTATCAAATGATTGGAGGAAATAATCTTGGTCAGCCATGTTTACTACACTTAGAACGAATCTGTTCATATCTTCATCGTGCAATCTCCCCTCATTTTTTGATTCTTATTCCAAGTTAAAGTAGAATTAATCCAAATTTGTATCTACTTGCAAGAAATAATATCAACTTGCACCTAATTCTTTTTCACAAACTTAATTCCAATCATGATAAACCCCATTAAAGCCACAATACAAATCATAAATCAAAGAAAAGAGAGACCCAGTTCTCTTAAATGGAAAGAATAAACATACCATGTTCATAAAATAATCTTATACCTTCCATAATATACTTCTTTGTCCAAAGGATTCACTATTAAGATCTCACCTTTGACACAAACTCTCTTTCTTTCAATTCTCTCTCATTTCTCCATATTCGTATTCCTAATACCCTAACCTACAATTAATAACCCACATCAAGTAATAAGGAGTAATTCAATTACCTTCGATAATTTACAAATAAAAATTAGGGTTAATTACAGAAAAAAGGAGTTGGGTATGTGGGAGAATAATTGTTATTTTCTCCATTCATACTTGTCAGACAATCATAATCATCTCAACAAAGCTAAAAAGAAGATCAATTGTCTTACCATGAAATAACGGCCGGTGATGGTGAGATAGAGAAAAGATAGTCAGCGGCGGGCAAGCAACGACGATGAGAGTCTTTACGTGGGGATGTGTGGGGGCCATCGACGATAAGACAAAGAAGGCACAATGACAAAGAAGGCACAATGATACTCTTTAGAAACTGCAATGATAAACTTTGTTTGTATTTTTGAAATATTTTTCAAATTTTCCAACTTAGTTATTGATTAAAATGGGAGGGAATATGTGATTTTAGTGAAAAGAACTGGAGGGAAAGCTAAATTAATAACTAGCAGCTTTCCAGAAATATCTTTTAGTGGTCATTCATTATTTATCGTCAGTAAAAAGGTACGCAATACCGGCAAATTCACAATTGCCGTTAGCATTTGCTCTTTTGGAATTATTTATCGGCCATTAGTTTATTGCCGCTAATTAATTGCCACTAAAATTCTTTTTTGTTGTAGTGTAAGCTTGTTAATATCAGTAGAAGCAGTGAAGAGCAGAGTTGCAGAAAGAATTTCAGATAGTTGTACAAGTTATGCAGTGCGGACCACACAAAGTGAAGTGCGGTCGCACAGAGGTCAATGCGGACCGCACAAAATGGTAATGCGGTTCGCACAGAGGTGGGGTTAAGACTACCCACTCTCTGTATCCATGTAATGCGGACCGCACAAAATGTAGTGAGGCCGCATTGGGACCAATGCGGACCGCACAAAATATAGTGCGGCCGCAGTCCCCAAAGTTCAGCTTTCAAGTCTTTCAGCAATGCGGTCCGCACAAAATGTTACTGCGGACCGCACAAGGGCACCGCGGACCGCACAAAATCGACCGTGGTCCGTACTGAGTGCCCAGAAGCAGCACTAACTTAGGGTTCCATGTGTTTTCAATTAAAGTCCAATTTTAACACCTAAGTAGTTGCTCTCTGATTTTAATTACTTAAGCCCATATTACCCACGAAAATAAATTAACCTAATCCTACCAAAATTAAATAAATATGGGGAGAAAATGATAAGAACCAAGAAAACAAGAAGTGAAAGAAAAATAACAAATTAAAACAATTAAAAAGAATGTGATGTTACCAGATGTAAGAAGCAATGAAGATGATCAAGTCCAAACAGTTAATTGCAAGGAAAAGAAATTATGATCAGTGTTTTTAGAGGTCTGAGAGTCAAGGGTTCGAAAAGTGTAACAGGAGGACCTCAGACCCTATTTATAGAAAAGGCCCTAGGGCCCATCTTACCAACCCAGTGCGGACCGTACAAAATCGACTGCGGTCCGCATCACTCAACATGTTTCAAAGCTTGAGAAGGCAACCACTGCGGTCTGCACAAAATGGAATGCGACCGCAGTGGTCCACCGCGGACCGCACAAAATGGACTGCGGCCGCGGTGGCAAACTTCAGAGAGTTGTTATTTTCACCCTTTCTTCAGTGCGATCCGCACTAAATGTAGTGCGGCCGCATTGAAAACTTCAGAGACCTGAATATTTTGTCTACTATGTCCTGCACTGAATCAACACCATCTTGTAGCATCTCACAACCAGTTAGTCCAAAAACAAATCCTATACTACAATGGAAATCATTTAAAAACAAGAAGAAAAACACATGGGTTGCCTCCCAAGAAGCGTCTGATTTAACGTTGCGGCACGACGCATGTTACCATCCAATCATTTGAAATGAACAAGAGCCACCACATGGCTATCATCAAACTTTCCCAAATAGTGCTTGACCCTGTGACCATTAACCCGGAAAATCTCCCCATTTTTGTTCTTCAAATCAAGGGCACCAAACGGGGTCACAAAGACCACCTTAAAAGGTCCGCTCCATTTTGACTTTAGCTTTCCCGAAAACAACCGTAACCGAGAGTTAAACAAGAACACCAAATCACCTACTCTAAACTCCTTGCCACGAGCATATTTGTCATGAAGGTACTTCATTTTGTCCTTGTACAAGGAAGAACAGGAGTAGGCATGGAAACGGAATTCATCAAGTTCATTGAGTTGCTCAACCCGGAGATTTGCAGCCACATCCCAATCAAGGTTCAACTTTCTCAAGGCCCACATGGCCTTATGTTCTAACTCAACCGGTAAATGGAAAGCTTTCCCGAACACAAACCGATACGGAGACATACCAATCGGAGTTTTGTAAGCAGTCCTATACGCCCATAGAGCATCATCCAACTTCTTAGACCAATCGGTCCTATTTGCATTGACCGTTTTAGACAGAATATTCTTGATTTCCCTGTTGGACACTTCAACCTGGCCACTCGCCTAAGGATGATAAGGAGTAGAAACTTTATGGTTAACACCATACTTGGCAAGCAAGGTGTCAAAAGCTCTATTGCAAAAATGCGATCCTCCATCACTTATAATTGCACGAGGAGTGCCAAACCTTGTAAAAATGCTCTTCTTTAGAAATGCAACCACACTCCTAGCTTCATTGTTGGGCAAAGCCACGGCCACAACCCACTTTGAGACATAATCAACCGCTACAAGAATGTAGGTATTTCCGCACGAGCATACAAATGGGCCCATGAAATCAATACCCCATACATCAAAGATATCCACTTCTAGAATGGTGTTTAGAGGCATCTCATCTTTCTTCGAAATACCGTCCGCTCTTTAACATTGGTCACACCTTCTCACTAAATCACTTGCATCTTTGTACAAAGTTGGCCAATAAAACCCACAAATTAGAACTTTCAAAGCTGTCATCGCCCCTCCATGATGGCCACCATAGGGGGAGGAATGACAAGCCTCTACAATGCTAGATTGCTCCTCCTCAGGTACACACCTCCAAATCACTCCGTCGGTGCAAATCTTGAACAGGTATGACTCATCCCAATAGAAGTCCAGACTATCCCGTTTGAGCTTCTTCCTCTGGTTAGAAAAGAGCTCACACGGGATGATGCCAGTCACAAGGAAATTAGCAACATCCGCAAACCATGGCATATCACTCATCAACACAGAAAGTAGCTGCTCATCGGGAAATGCATCATTGATCTCTAAGCCATCACACAGCCTTCCTTCCTCCTCCAAGCGGGACAAGTGATCCGCCACTTGGTTTTCACTACCTTTCCGGTCCACAATTTCCAAATCAATATCTTGAAGTAGTAAGGCCCATCGCATCAGTCTAGCTTTGGAGTCTTTCTTTGTCATCAAATACCTAAGAGCTGCATGATCGGTGTGCACTATGACTTTGGCTCCCATAAGATATGCCCGAAACTTTTCCATTGCGAACACAATAGCCAACAACTCTTTCTCAGTTACTGTATAGTTCCTTTGAGACTCATTCATTGTCTTGCTCGCATCGTACACTGGATGAAACATTTTGTTCACTCTTTGATCCAAAACTGCCCCAATCGTAACATCACTCACGTCGCACATAAGCTCGAAAGGCAAGCTCCAATTGGGTGCGGTGATGATCAGGATGGTGGTCAACTTATGCTTGAGAAGTTCAAAGGCTTGCATACATCCCTCATCAAACACAAACTTTGCATCCTTTTCTAGTAGCTTGCACAATGGATTTACTACCTTCGAAAAGTCCTTGATAAACTGCCGGTAGAACCCCGCATGCCCAAGAAAACTTCCCTTAACAGAAGTGGGGGGAGGAAGTCTTGAAATCACCTCAATTTTGGCTTTTTCAACCTCAATACCATTCTTTGAAATTTTATGACCCAACACTATGCCCTCCTCAACCATGAAGTGGCATTTTCCCCAATTTAGCACAAGATTGGTGTCTTCACACCGGGCCAACACTTTATCCAGATTTGTGAGACACTCATCAAATGAATCACCCACAACACTGAAGTCGTCCATGAACACCTCCAAAATATCTTCCACCATATCGGTGAAAATGGCCATCATACACCGTTGGAATGTTGCCGGTGCATTGCACAACCCAAAGGGCACCCGAGAAAAAGCAAAGGTGCCATATGGACAAGTAAAGGTTGTCTTCTCCTGATCCTCTAGAGCTATCAAATTTTGATTATACCCTGAATAACCATCCAAAAAACAATAGAAGGCACGCCCAGCAAGACGATCAAGCATCTGGTCAAGGAAAGGCAATGGGAAGTGATCCTTGCAGGTCACCTTGTTCAGCTTGCGGTAGTCCATGCACACCCTCCATCTGGTCACTGTACGAGTTGGGATAAGTTCATTAATAGCATTGGTCACCATGATCATACCATCCTTTTTCGGCGCACACTGCACCGGTGAAGTCCACGAGCTGTCAGAGATAGGATACACCACTCCGGCATCTAACCACTTGATCACCTCCTTTTTCACAACTTCTTGCATTGCCTCGTTCAGCCTCCTTTGATGTTCCAAGGAGGGTTTTGCATCATCTTCCAGAATAATCTTGTGCATACAGAATGCGGGGCTTATTCTCCGAATATCAGCTAAAGTCCATCCAATTGCCTTTTTCCTCTTTCTGAGCACCGCCAATGTGGCATCTACCTGCATGTTAGTAAGACAAAAGGAAAGAATAACTGGTAAAGTTGAATTAGGGCCTAAGAATTCATACCTGAGGTGTGGAGGCGGTGGCTTCAACTCCAACACTGGGGGTTCCTCAATTGAAGGCTTTGTTGGAGGGGTCTTTCTATTTTCAAGATCCAAAGAGAGTTTCCTAGGCTCATAAGAGTAAGAGCCCATTCCATGTAAAGCATTCACACACTCCACTCGGCCCTCATCATTATTGACATCAAGATTCAACAATATGGCCTCCAAAGGGTCCTCCACATTGATCACAGCCGTGACAAGATCCACAAATGAGCACACTTATGTACAATTGGGCTGCTCCATTGACTTGCACACATGAAAAACGACCTTTTCATCACCCACCCTGAAAGTGAGTTCCCCTGCTTCCAGATCTGCTAGAGCCTTCCCCGTAGCAGGGAAAGGTCTCCCCAATATGATCGGGACCTCATAATCTACCTCACAATCCAAGATCACAAAATCAGCTTGCAAGATAAATTTGTCTACCCCGACGAGCACATCATCAACAATACCCAATGGTCGCTTCATTGATCTATTTGCCATTTGCAATCGCATGGAAGTTGGCCTCGGTGGCCCAATACCCAAAGTCTTGAAAACTGAGTAGGGCATTAAGTTGATGCTTGCCCTTAGATCACATAAAGCTTTAGCAAAGTCTGCACTCCCGATAGTGCAAGGGATAGTGAAAGCACCGGGATCCTCTAACTTCGGAGCCATTGAATGTACTATAGCACTAACTTGGTGGGTCATCTTGATAGTTTCACAGTCCATGTATCTTTTCTTTGTCACCAAATCTTTCAT